GGTGCAGTCACCCGTAGGTGAGACATAAAGGCTGGCAGACTTATTCTAGAATTATCTTTTTGTCATAATTATAGTTATGATGATATTTTGCACTGCCTCTAGCTTATTGGAGGCTAACTAACAGAGTGAGGATGAGCCATCATTATTATTATCCCCACATAATACCTTGCCATACATAACATAGATTTATGCAAATTACACTAACTTCTTTTTGGTATAGATATTTACTTGCATTCTAGTGTCAGTTGGTCTAACCAATAACAAAGAAAATTTAAATGTATTTTCAATAAAAATAATCTTTTCCCCATTGTGTCTCCACTGAAAAAATAAAAAAACTCCTAAAGACTTCTTAGTCTCATCACTATCGTTTTTCGCTCATTTTTTGATTTTCGCTTTAGTTTACTCCGCCTCTTCCTGTTCCTGAGGGCTCTGCTCGTGCGATAGCCTGGTCAAGGCCGCGTCCTAGCAAAAATCAAGCTCGTGACCCGCTTTCCTTCCTTCTCTGCCAAGCCAATTTGGCTCCTTACGCCACCGCACCGGCCTTTGCTGCAGCAACCGCTGCCTCACGTCGTCCGGGCGGACGTACTATTTTGGCTTCAGCTGACGAGGCTGCCGGGGATACCGGAGGTAACCAAATTCTGCAGCGATGCCAATTAGCTCGTCAACTTGAGGCAGCTCGTTGTGCTGCTGAACGAGTGGCGGCTAGATTGGCGATGCCACAGCGAGAACGTGATCAATTGGTAAAGGAGGCTGTCTCTAGGGCAACGGGGCTGGCCTTAGAACGCGTGGAAGAAGTTCTGAGCAGCCGGGTGGCTGGAGGGACGGTCATGCGACGGGGGCAAAAAAAGCAAGATGATGAAGACGAATACGAAGGTGGAGAAGATGAAGACAATGTAGAAGAGGATCCTGAGCATCTGGAATCGGTAAACCAAATGTTATTGTTGATACAAGCTATTCATTATTACCTTTTTTATTATTGATTAAACTAAACTCATAAGCAAAACAGTTGTTAAAGCATTTCGGGGCTTTACAAATATGAATAGAATCTGGGTTCCGAGGAATCCCTCAATGAATTATGTTATTCTGCTTCTCATATCATTTAAAAAGGCGGGTGGAAGGTATTCGCAACTTGGCTTCATCCTTAAGTGAAGGAAGCTTGCATAGGAATCGTGAATTTGACAAATCCCAGATGAGCATTCATCTCTCACGCCAAGCCAGACAATTTTTGATTTATTGTT